CACGATGTATTTGCTCTTTTCTCTCTCTTGTGAAACTGTTTCTCTTTTCCTGGGCTGCTAAAGTTTTTAAATGGTGTCTTATTTTGCAGTAGATAAAGGAGATGGATTTTTACGGTTTTCTCCTCTAAAAACAAATTAGAGGAAGCATAGCATGGGTAGGCAGGAGTGTTAAGTGATGATCAGCCTAATGTGAAATAAATGTTTAACACTTTTTACTCTGCAGTAGTTGCAACTGACTAGGTAAGCAAATGAATAAATTTGAAGATAGTGTATGCTGTCACTTCTACAGATAAATAACTTTGATGCTCTGTGATTGATTTATAAGACTTAAGTTTTCATTCCTTGCTAGGTTATTTATAGTCTTAGATGCTTACGGATTGGGTTTGTCAAATTTAAAAAAAAACCCCAAACCCAACAAACAAAAAAAACCCACAAAAAAACCCTCAATGCACAACCCCCCCCAAAAACCAACTAGGTTTCATAGAAAATGTTTTTATGTTAATGCTCAAAACTGTTACTTCAAAAATATTTTCAGGCTGTAACACTTGACCCAAATTTTTTGGATGCTTACATCAATCTGGGAAATGTCCTGAAGGAGGCAAGGATATTTGACAGGTAAGTGGATAAGTACTGTCGCTCTGTCAGTGGCCTATCAGATTTATCAAGATACAAATTAGATTCCTGATGTAAAAATCTCTTGGGACAGTATAGCAAAGACTTCTGCTGTAAGCTAAGCAAGCAAATGGCTTTGAAATGCATACAGAGCAGGTTATTGGAATTTAAAAAAAAAAAAAAATTCCTCTGGAATGTATTCCTTTGTTATCTTCCTGTACTTAATAAAATGTTAAAAATGAGAGTTTCTGAAGGTATTGATGAAAATAGATTTGAAATTCAGGCTGGGAATGGGTGAAGACAAGATGTCTGAGAAAGGTAGTAAGTGTTGAGTTCTCGGTTTTCATTATGTGATTCAAGACATGATCTAGAAGTGCGTCTCTTCTAAAATTTTCCTTCTATGTAAGACAAGCTGAAATGCTGAAATTCAGCTAAGCATGTGATTGAATATTCTGTATTTGTTATGTGTCAGCATCATGTTATTGCATGGGGTTCCAGTACTGTTGCTGTCTTTTTGAACTAACTTGTTTTAAGACCTCTAATCTGATATGTGAATCTTTTGTTTCTGGAAGAAGATCCAGGCTGTGTTTGTTTATATGCAATGTACCATTTGCATCTGTTAATTGGATTATAATTTCTGGTAGCTGTGGTTTGTGGCTCCAAATTTAATGAAAGCTTGCAGGGAACAGGTAAATTATTCTAACTAGCATTACACACAGTATAAATCATTCTGTGATTTCTGGTTTAACCACAAATTAATAGGCCAACCAAGGGCATGTTTCCTCATCATTTTAGACTTTACATCACCTTTTTCAGAATTTACTTACTATGTATACTGTTGTGATTTTTCTGTAAATCGGATTTGAATACATCAGTCATAGTGCTATAGGAGCATATAATTAAAGATCGCACTTTTGAACAAAGTGAAGTTTGAAGTGTAAGTAAAGCATGATACATAGGTTAGGTTAGTGGAGAGAATAAAGATGTAATAATATGATACTGTTTATATTGTTACAATTGAATAATAAACTGGAAGAAAAATGGAGCAAAGGTCTCATGCTTATCCTAGTAAGAAGAGTGTTTAAAAACGTAGATGAAAGTTTTATTTTTTTTCCCAGAAGACTTATGTTGATCACTATACAGCATCAGGTAGGAGGAAAACATTCCTGTTTTACAAAGTATTTCTTCTAGTCTGCTAGTCACTACAGAATTGGGCATAGCTTTAAAATAACATGAATAATAATAATTCATCCTTTGATTGGGCTTTTAATTCAGGCAGTACTCTTCTGTGTTTTCAGTAATATCTTACAGGACAGACTTGTGTGTGTTAATAATACATATCCCTTGAAGTTTGTTTTTTTTAATGTAGGTCATTTTTATGACCAAGGTAAATATAATTGCTGCTCTCTGGATGATTATTTATCTTCTTTTTTTGTTACAGAGCTGTAGCAGCTTATCTACGAGCCTTGAGTTTGAGTCCAAATCATGCAGTTGTACATGGCAACCTTGCCTGTGTGTATTATGAGCAAGGACTAATAGACCTAGCAATAGACACCTACAGGAGGGCTATTGAACTACAACCCCACTTCCCCGACGCCTATTGTAACTTGGCCAACGCCTTAAAGGAGAAAGGCAGTGTAAGGAGTACTTTTTTTTCCTTTTTAAAAGTATAGTGAATGTTTATTTTAGACACCAGGTGTCACCAACTTTATTAAGATGGGATGTTACCCTCATTTAGCTAGTCATAAGGAAGAATAATTCAGGAAGCCTCCACCTTGAATCTATTAAAAGTGATTGGATAATGACTTCTCATAAACAGTGCTGTTACAACAAATATTGCCATACTAACAGTATCCCTTTTTTTGAAGGTGGTAGAAGCAGAAGAATGCTACAATACAGCTCTTCGACTTTGTCCCACTCATGCAGATTCTCTCAACAATCTAGCAAACATCAAACGGGAACAGGGGAATATTGAGGAAGCTGTCCGTCTTTATCGGAAAGCTCTTGAGGTACAGTTGAATGTGGTGAGGGAGAGGTGGGGAATTAAAGTTGGGAATGTGTAATATGACATAGGTTTTTTTTTTTCCCTCTTTGGTTGTAAGTGGAGGAACATCTGCTCAGAGATTTGAGTCATATAAAAAGAAGAGTAAGAAATGCACAAGTTCGTGGTTTGTTTTTTTTTTTTTTCAATATGTTCTACTTGGGGCATTTGAGAGACAGATTCTACTTCTTTTTCTTCCAGGTGTTTCCAGAGTTTGCTGCTGCGCATTCAAATTTAGCAAGTGTTCTGCAACAGCAAGGAAAGTTACAGGAAGCTCTAATGCATTACAAAGAGGCTATTAGGTAAATGGATACTATCTGTAATAGTCCCAGCCTTTCATAACGGGAAAGTGCCATAGATTTGTACAGGAAGTGACTTATAGTAGTATATTTTAATTCAGATAGTTGCTTTGCAAACCAAAAAATCTGGGTATGGGTATAGTTTCTCATTGGAGGAGGAGCTTTTATTATTCATGACATACGTTATCTTTATTTCTCAGAATCAGCCCCACATTTGCAGATGCTTATTCTAATATGGGAAATACTTTGAAGGAGATGCAGGATGTTCAAGGAGCTTTACAGTGCTACACCCGTGCCATTCAGATAAACCCAGCTTTTGCTGATGCCCACAGCAACCTGGCCTCTATTCACAAGGTAGCACATGTGAATGATTCACTTGTAGAGTATGGTGGGGCACTGTGAGTACTTACCCTGAGTATCTCTTTATCTGCTGACTCATTTCTGTGTCTTTACAGGATTCAGGGAATATACCAGAAGCTATTGCGTCTTACCGCACTGCTCTGAAACTGAAACCTGATTTCCCAGATGCTTACTGCAACTTGGCCCACTGTTTGCAGGTGAGGAAGATGAGGCTTTGATTGTAATTCTTTAGATTCCTCTGCAGCAAATGCTAAGCTTGTTCACCTCAACCAATCACTAATTTAAATGTGAAGAGTAGAGAATCTTACCTTCTGATCTAAGACTACAGTCATCAACAGTAATTACTGAAGTTCTCGCTTCCATTTTTGGAAGAAGCATTAGTCTCAAGTTGTGAAATACCTGATACGGCTCAAAGGAAGCTGTTGTCCTAATATTCTTTTAATTTTTCCTTCTTCTAGATTGTCTGTGACTGGACAGACTACGATGAAAGAATGAAGAAGCTGGTTAGCATTGTAGCTGACCAACTGGAGAAAAACAGACTGCCTTCTGTCCACCCACATCATAGCATGCTGTATCCCCTTTCTCACAGTTTTAGGAAGGCTATTGCTGAGAGACATGGAAATCTGTGTTTGGACAAGGTAGGAAGTCTTACACAGGCCAATTGTGAGTGAAGTACTTTGTGGTTTTGCCTGTTCCTACTGAAAATCTAATCCTTGCGTAGTTAGTATTAGCCTTTGTAAGGTTTCTGAGATGCTGACCTGTAGAGAGATAGACATAGTGTTGCTCATCTAGTTTTGCAAAGTATATGCGAGGGGTGTTGGAAAAGCAGAGTGAGTAAATTATTCTTTCCTGACAGTAAAACAGATCAAGTGTGTTAGCATTCCTCAAAATCTAGTCCTTTCCAGCACCCATAGCACTTGGGACCTGACCTTGACTCTTGTGAATCCTTGCTGGAACGTCTGAGCTTTGTGTTTGGCTCTGGGATTTCCAGATGCACTCACTTTAGTGGTGATGGCAGCAATGTTAAGAGGGGCGATGCATCACAGCAGGAAGTACTTGAATATTCATTGTGATTATGTTTTGGAGTGCTTTGTATACAGTAGAATACCAAAAACATATCTTCTCTTGCTGTAATTATTTAACTGTGTGCCATTTCCACAAGACTGCACAGCATCTCAAGCTGTTACGCGTTGCGGTTGATGGCAAATTCTTTAATTAAAATTTGATGCGACTTCTTTTTCTCTTCAACCAGAGAGTTGTGACTGTTAGCACTTGTGAGCATTGAGATGGACTACTTGAGCAGGTTGCCACTATAATTGAAAATACACTGTCAAGCCAGTGGAAGAGTGGTTAGCTAATGTAAAGATCTCAAACTTCAGAAAATAACACTTAGCTTTCAAACTGGCTTGTCTTAATAGCCTGATAGTCCTGACAGTGATAGGGGCTACAAGCTCATGTCTGGGGTACATGGTGAGCATAAGAACAGAAAGCATGCTGTGGTATTTCACAGGAATACTCTTCTGGTCACAAGTGGCTTGTAGTTTGAGAACTTCCTGGTCATAGTGGTGTGGTATCAGCATATTTAATAATGAGGGGTGTAATACTGAAATGTCAGCTTGTAGTAGTGATGTCTGTCTTTATTTGGCTGAATGTAGGTACGTGACATCTGGTAACAGAGTTTATGGACATTACACTGGGCTCCAATGGAATACATATAATGCAGGTTTGAAACAGCAGATGCCCACAGACCGCTTACTTGAATGTGCGATAAGGCTAATTCTACAAACTCATGGGGGTTTTTTTGTCCCTCTGTTTAGCATTTGGTTTTGGTTCCTGAGTTTATAAACAGTTGTGTATGCTTTCTTGACAGATTAATGTTCTTCACAAGCCACCATATGAGCATCCCAAGGATTTGAAGGCCAGTGAAGGTCGACTTCGTATTGGCTATGTGAGCTCTGATTTTGGAAACCACCCAACCTCACACCTAATGCAGTCAATCCCAGGCATGCATAACCCAGACAAATTTGAGGTAAAAATATAAATGGCATGCTTAAAGCTTTAAATACAGCTGTAAGTGGCACTTGCTGCAGGCAGGTGAACTAGGGAAGCGTAATTTTTTTATTTCTAGGTTTATTTGTTTGTTTTTTGTTGGCGGGCTTTTTTTTTTTTCTTATGGGTTGAAGAGTTCTCCAGCCTGAGTCATTCTCCTTTACCAGTATGAAGCATTATTTAGAAGGTAAGCAAATTAGATATGTGTCCTTGGAATGACTGTAGGTAGGTTTTGTGGACCATGGAAAAATTCTTTTAAGCTTCCACTGCTGTTCTTTGAGTAGGTGTGTCTCAACATCTAGCTACTACTGTTTGGTTACTTCTCATTTACAGATACGCATCTGTGTTTTGTTCACTCTCTGCTGCTGGTTTATTTACATGTATTTTTCTCTGGGATACCTGAATCACAAACATGGACTTCAGATTGGTCTGGCTACTGCTTTTTCAAAAGGAAATGATACACTACACTTACTCCAGAAGGAGTGTATGTATTTTAGCATTGCTAAAGACAGTCACATCTGTATTTATTTGGGTGTTGTGTTAAGGGATTGAGGCTGTAAATAGAACTAATTTGCGGTTAGATTGTTTGCCCTGTGACTGTTTAAATTGCCTCATTTTTGAGCTCCTGTTTTCCAAGACATGAGAATTTACTTATTTTTGTAAAGGGCTGTAAATCTTTCCTTCTTGCAAAAGTGGTTTTTATTAATCTTTTTTTGTTTGGTTTTGGGCTCTTTTTCCCTTACCTTCTTGCTTTTTCCTGGTCATGAAGTCTTTGTAGTCTGAAATCCTTGTGGCAAAGCTGCATGCTTGAATTGTTATCGGAAATGTGACTGTGAAGCAGGTTTTCTCATGAAACAATTAAATTGGTGGTCTGAGTACATGGGGTGTAGGGAGAGTATACCATTTAACTTTGAATCAGCTCAAGACAAAGGGCAGTCTTTCTTGTTCTGGATTTATAAAGCTCTGTGGAGCTTAATTTAAATACTAAATAGAAATAATTTATTATTTTACTAAAACTATGCTTTTGTCCTGCAAGATAATAAATTCTCTGCATATTGGTTCTATTTGTTCTGTATCTATATGTGCTAGGTTAACTAAAGTTGCCTGTTTGCATAACCTGTCAACCTTGAATTTCTCATACATTTGCAGTTTCTTAATTGGAGAGAACTAGTTGCTGTTTAAAAAGTCTGTTAAAAAGCTTCCCCAAGGCTTAGCTTGTCTGTTCAACCTGAGTCATAATTATGCTTCTTGCTAACTACAAATTCAAAGGTGTCTTGTAAAAGGCATTCTTAGAGAATGTAATGCTTATGCAAATACATGTTAAAATTACTTTACCTTGCGCTGATGAGAACATTGTATATATGCCTGTGCGAGATGCAGTGCTGTACTCTAGCACCAGAACTAGGTATAGGGCCTGGTGCAAATGTGTCAAATGCCACCCCCACCCCCCCTTTTTTGGGGGGGGTGGGGGCGGCACACTTCTTTCTCAACTGGTAAATGCCACACAAATAAATGTAATATAATTTGTATGAAACTAGATGTAATTTTGCTAAAGTAATTTAAAATTGCAATACCATGTGTTTTACAGTAAAGTTATTTTGTTGGCAAGTTGTTGCAGATACTCAATTTTCGGGGCCTCATATTCTAGGTTTTCTGTTACGCCCTGAGTCCTGATGATGGTACAAACTTCCGTGTAAAAGTGATGGCTGAAGCAAATCATTTCATTGACTTATCTCAGGTGAGCTTTTTTGATGCATTGACCTTTTAGCAAACCTAAATGAAGAAAGAGTTCAGTTTGAGATTTTTAATTGCAATAATTTCTTGAATTAGGCTGATATTAGTCTTGAGCATTTTGGAGTGTGTAGATGTATTGGTGTTATGCCTTACCTGAGATGCAGTGGTTATTGTGTGACGTCTGTGTGATTATTAAAGAGTAATATTAGCAATATTGAATAACTGTTCCATTAGGTCCTAAGATAATGGTCATATCTAAATGTCATGGGTAAGTCAAGATGGCACAACTGCAAATATATTTGAGATTGCTTTACTCCAGTGAAGCCAGACAGAGGCTTAATGATTAGTAGGATTTTGCCCCTCTATCAAAAGGCCCTTCTGGTAACATACACATGTGGTTTTGTTGTTTTTAAGTTCTGTGTGAAAACTGATGAGGATTTCAGTATACACAGAAGTCAAGGAGTTGTTATACTTTCTCAAGATAACTGGCAAAACCCTGAAGCAACATGGGATAATGAGTGTACATTAATAGTGGAACTGGATTGGCACCTGGACAGTCCCAGATTAGGTGACAGAGTAAACTTGCATGTAGTTTTAAAACTCATAGTGTTCTTCAGAAACTGCTCTCATAAGTAAAAACGCTGAATTGATGTCAGCAGAATTGCTCTTTGAGATGGGTTTTGCAAAGTTGGTATTTTAAAATGTTCTTTTAGAATAATGAGCTTCAGTTATGCTTGTGGAAAGCTGTGTCGTGTGTGTGTGTGTCCTGTCCCCCCTCTACTCCCTCCCCTGCTTTTGTAGCTGTGGTTGTTGAAAGCCCTGGGTCATAGTAAAATAGGGCAGCAATTTGATATTTGTTGTTGCACTTAACAGCTATCTAGGAAAAATTCTTTCCTTTGCCTGGAGTGATATGCTGAGTTTTCTTACTTAAAATTCTTGAAGTATCAAGCTCATATTTTTGGGTTACAGTGCAACTCTTAGAGATTTGTACAGGAGGGTCAAACAGGTAGAAACAGTTTGCTGTGATCTATTGCATTACTAATGTAACTTCCTAAAAGTTAAACTAAGATAGGAACTGAGATTATTGTCCACTCAGAGATAGAACTGCCTACGTGCATGCGATAACTCTGCTATAAAATGTGAAGTAGCTTTCCCTTTTTACAAAAATTAAGTACTTTTATGGTGCATATTAATTGTAGAGTGAATCAGCATTAGCAGTGGCTGCAGAGTAGTTAATTAACTTACTCTTGATGTTCAGTTTGAAGTAATTTCTCTGTATTACCTTAGTTTGGGAATATACCACCTGCCCTACGTGAGCTTTGATCATTAATTAGCCTTACGAGACTGGTGGGGTTGTTCTGGTTTGTATAGCCTCAGTTTCTAGCCTTTGGTTTTTGTTTTACTGCTGCTGAACTAGAGACATGTATTTTCTTTTATCTGCTTGTAGGTAGTGACTAATTATATAATTAATTCTTGGAGGAATTTAAAACTTTGCAAATTGTTTACCTTTCAGTATTAGATAGGAAGAGACACATTGTAACTTCCAAGGCTTTGCTGTTCTTGAAAGTCATTGGTAATACCTTGTGTGAAGCTCCGCTCTTCTTTGTTTTTGATTTAGCCAAGAACGGAAGCAGTTTCAGTGTTGCTTGAAGTTTCTTCTGTGGTCCATTTGTGATACTTTTCTACATGACTTGCTGAGCTTGGCAATGCTAGGTATTGGTCCTCAGATTCGAATGTGCAAGGCAATCTTGAAGTACCACAGTTACAATTTCTGTCAGCAACTGCTTAAACTGTTTCTAGCAAACTTAGGTTTTTCTTGGCTTCAACAGGGGTTTTTTTGATTGAGTTGAGGACTTAAACACCTCTGTAAAACCAGGAGTAATGAGATTTAAGTCTTCACCTAAATTAAATTATGCAGTTGACATTTATTCATTGGTACACTGACTAACCACATTTATTAATGAAAACAAAAATAACTTTTATGTATTTATTTATTCTTCAGATACCATGTAATGGAAAAGCAGCAGACCGCATCCATCAGGATGGGATACACATTCTCATTAATATGAATGGTTATACCAAAGGAGCCCGAAATGAATTGTTTGCCCTGAGACCAGCACCTATTCAGGTAACTAAGTTAGAGGGCTTTGTATCTCCAAAAAAATACCTGTGAGTAGGAAGAGTTTCTCTTTTGCTTCTGGCAGAGTGGAAAAATGTTGAAGGGTCATGTTTCTCAGTAAGCAAGAGAGACTTTTTAGGGCTTAGCATATGTGAGGCAAATAGGATCATTCTGTTGAAGCAGAATAGTTTGGGGTTTTTGTGCTTTATGGCAGTTGATAATGTCCTGCAAGAGAACTCCTTAATTCTATGAGGTTCCTCTACACCACTGGCTTTCTTGCATTAGTTAGAACAAAGAAAGGGTATTTGAAGCAGTTGTGGAAATGAGTTACTGGTTTTAAACTCTTTAGGCTTAGTGAAATTCTAGTTGGCATGAGTCAGAATCAATGTCAGAGTTACATTTTTGACTAAATATTTTCTAAAATGCCTATGGAAAGAGAATGGGCAAAGCCTGAATCAGAGTCAGTCTAGGCTACAGAAGTTGTCTCAGCTAAGAGAAGCTGTAATCACTGATGGTTAGTATTGTGGCTATACCTGCACGTAGTTGGATGCTTTGGCCTTTTGCTTGAGGGGTCAATTTTAGAACATCCTTGAACTGTTCATTGTCTCGGTAGTGAAAGTTTGGGCTTAGTGGTTGCTCTTCAGTTGACAAAGCACAAGAAGGAACTTGAATTTGTAGGTAGAAAATTTAACTTATTATGTGTTGATTTTTAACTTCCTCTATTTTTGCAATATACCTGGGACTGGAGCCTTGCTTTCTTGGTTTTTAGGCGATGTGGCTAGGGTATCCTGGAACCAGTGGGGCATTGTTCATGGATTATATCATCACAGATAAAGAAACTTCCCCAGTTGAGGTGGCTGAGCAGTATTCGGAGAAATTAGCTTACATGCCAAACACTTTCTTTATTGGAGACCACGCCAACATGTTCCCCCATCTGAAGGTATGTAGGAAGATAGGGCAAGAAAAGTAGAAGTTTTCCATAGCTGTCTTTATAAAATGGTACTTAGTATATAGTACTTGGTAAGGGATCTTGTAACTTTTTGAAATTTTTTTTTTAACAGAAAAAAGCAGTCATTGATTTCAAGTCCAATGGTCATATTTATGATAACAGAATTGTTTTGAATGGCATTGACTTGAAGGCTTTCCTTGACAGCCTCCCTGATGTCAAGATTGTTAAGGTGAGAGCTACTTCTTCGTATGTTCAGTCTCAGGGACTGAAGCTAGTACTTTCTCTGATGCTTATGTGATCTGCCTTAGATGAAGTGTCCTGACAGTTGTGACAATGCAGATGGCAATGCCGCTCTCAGTATGCCAGTCATTCCTATGAACACAATTGCAGAAGCTGTGATTGAGATGATTAATCGTGGGCAAATTCAGATAACTATCAATGGATTCAACATCAGTAATGGATTAGCAACTACTCAGGTGAGGCACTTCAAGACGCTGTTCTCTTGGATTTTATTATATGTGTATGCTTTAACATAGCAAGGAACAAAAACCTCCAAGCAAATGTCTGTCTTATGTTGATTTGTTTAGTTCTCATACTGAAAGAAACTCGCAAGTGTGTTATAAGCCACAGATGTACTGGAAGATGATCCAAAGATAGAGGGGTTATGTCAAGAGGTATCTGAAGTCCAAGGAAATTTAATCCTGTTGCATAAAGAAGATACTTGGTTGTTCAGAATTTGAAGGCAAGATTTGCTCATTGCCTGCAGGGTATTTGTGAGTTGTTACCCAGTTTCCATTGTGTTTTTCCTTTAGAAAAAAAATTGCTGGGTAATACAGGCAAAGTTACTCCACTGTATCTCACCAATGTTTGTTCACCTCCTTATATCTTTCTGAACTATGCACTATACCACCACCTCTCAGTGCTTAACAGTTCATGGGATTTTAGTGGTAGTGACAGTTACTGGTTTTGTTTAATACTTCTTGCTTTGCAGAACAGATCTTCCTTTTTAAAAATACCGTATTTTGACTTGTGAATTTTATTCAGTTTGCAGTCCTTCAGAAGACTCTTCTATGTCATTTTATGAGACCTTTTATTATCACTGCTCTTTCCATAATCTCATGCCTTGGATTCTTTTTATGAGTTCTTTTGTTCACAGCTGAGACTTTTCTTTAAGTTGGTGATAGGTTATGTCTTAGTTTGGTCAGTAAGCTTATTAGCATTTTTTTCTGAAATTGTTGTTCCCTGAGAATAATAGAGAATTCTTGTCTTCTTAGCACTCCACCACCAAGATGAACAATCTGAGCTCTGTCAGTGCACTTCTAAAACTGGAATTTTATCTTTTGATCACACTAATATAACCCTTCTTCATGCTTGTTCTAATTTGATCGGCTACTTTTGGGCATAGGTCAACGAGAGCTGTGCATTGTGTTTTTGAGGTCTCCTCAGTGACCTGGATAAGTAGCACTTTTACCAGCTTTTGTTGAACTAAATTATCTTGTGCATCTTCTAACCGAGTCAGTGGCAGTAAGTCATTGTCATTCATGTCAAGTTTGTCAACAGTACAGTTATTTTGGCTGGCCGCACTGCCACTGAGCTAAATTTTAAATATATAAGTATGTAAAATATATAT